CTGCCCCTCTGGGAGCGGGGTACCTGGCCTGCTGGGCCTGGGCACGGGGCCCCTCGCGCTCGCACGGGGCGGCCGCCGACGTCGTGGGCAGTGAGCGGCGCAGGCGCCTCCTGGAAGACTGGACGCGGGGGTCTGAGAAGACGGGGTGTGTGGGGGGGGCGCGGTGCAGGCTTTCCTGGGGCTCCGCACCGGCGCTGGGAAGCGTCACGGGGGCGGCGTGGGGACGCACGCCTGGCTCGGGCAGCCCCCTCGGACTGGAGTCCAGCTTCGGCCCGGTAGGTGCCAGAGCCCTCGCCGGTTCTCTGCGCCTCAGTAAAATAAGACACAGCCCACCGCCGAGGCTGTCGCGGGGGCGGCGCCAGCGTTTGTGAGCTGAGGGCCTGGCAGCCGCTGACACAGTGGGGTGCCTTTGCTCTTGCCAGCAGGAGGTGGGTGGCATCTTCCGTTGCCCGTAAAGCACCACGAGGCATGAAGAGAGCAAAGGTGTTTGGTTATGAGACTGCAGGGTAAATGGAAGCGGTCGGCTCTGCGCCCCGCGGCCTCCAGCACCCTTGGTCGGCACCTGGAGAAGGGGTGCGTGCCTGTGGGTTTTCTGTGGCAAGTGTCCTCTCTCCCTTCCCCACCTACGTGATTTATTTGCGCATACTTAATTCTAATTTTAGGAAGAGCACTTTATTAAAAGAAAATGAAAAACATACAGAAAGAAAACCAAAAACGAATGAAGCCCAGTAGAACAAGTTTTGGAATAGGTGGCGCTGGGTCTTCGGTGGCTGCGTTCCTGTGGCTCACGCTGCCCGCAGCGCCGACTCTGTAGCCGGCTCATGCAGTAAGGAGGTGATGGCCCAGAGCAGAGAATCCTGTTTGCTGAGGAAGAGGAAGCCGTTTGTTAGGGCACATGCCTGCGCCTGGTCCAGAACGTGCGGCTGTGGTAACCCGTGGTAGAGAGGAGGCGGAGGTTGGGTGACTCGTGGCCAGTTTGTAAAGGCCTCCCCAGGGCCGTGTGTGTAGACCCACGCTAGAGGGAAGACAGAAGCAAAACAGGTTAAGAAAAGTCGGCCGCGTTTTGTACACGTTCTAACTCTTCCAGGTGTGGTTCTGTCTCTGCGGGTCTTCAGAATCTCCTCGGAGCTTTGCGAGCTCACACATTTCCAGACTTTGCCCCAGAGACTCGGCCTCTGTCTGCTTTGGGGCCTGGGACTCTGAAATACTTTCAGCCGACTGGAAGCGCAGGAGATAAGCTGGGCTAGGCGACGCGGCTCTCCTGACCCTGTTTGCTCCTGTCATCGCCCTGCTGAACGTCCTTCCGTGCGTTTTGATAAAGACCAAACCTTCCTGGTTCACAGACGCTAGCACAGTGCCAGCTCTTCACAGGGGTCCAAGGTCCTCGTGGCTCAGGTTGTCACCTCCATCCTTTGTGCCTCTGCCCCTCCCCACCCGGTATTCCGGGGCCGAGCAGATGGGCAGAACTCCATTTGCAAGATGAGTGTGGACAGCGTGAAAGGGAAGAGTCAGACAGCCCGGAATACTGGGACGCTGACGGGGAGACTTGCCAGCGAGTCAGCAGACGGATGAGCTCCGTGGCCGTCTCCTGTCGCCGCAGTTTCGTGCTGTTACTGCCGTGGTGCTCGCGCTCTTGGCTGTGCAGCCTGGGGCCGGGCCGGGCCGGGCCGGGCCGGGCCGGGCCAGGCCAGGCCAGGGGGCCAGTTGTGCTCTTTCCCTGCTGGCTTTGCCGTCAGCTTCGTGGAGGAGGCGGCCTGAGCAGGACGGGCACGGTAGGATTCGCTGCGCTTCCTCTTGCTCGATGTGGCCAGGAGCTCACAGCCGCCACTGGGCAGCACGGGCTTTATGTTCTCGTCCCTCCCGTAACAAGGTTCTGGCCCTTGAACCTTCTGCACCCCTGTTGTCCACGCCCTGGGTTTCGGCCAGCTGCGCTTAACGTTGACATACTGGTCTGACTGATGCTGGGTGAATTTCTCGGTCCTGTTGTTCACCGTCTCGGGATGGCTGACAAGTCTGAGGGCGGCCCTGATGCCGGGCAGGAGACAGCCACCTTGGGCAGTGCCGAGGAAACAATTCCCACGTGTTGAACTCTGATTTTTACTTAGTTTCACATTCTGAAAGGACGGGTTTGTTAGGAGGAGGAGAAGGGAGGGGCAGCTGCGCAGGCACAGGGGCGGTCACAGGTGGGCAGAGAGCCGCCGCTCCTGTTTTGCAAAGGGAAGAGGTTTGTAAAAAGAAACACCTGGCGGCGCAGGTTCAACCAGCACCGTCAAGCTGTCGCCAGCCGCTGCAGCCCAGTCCCAACCCCCCGGCCAGGGAGTGACCTGCCGGGCGCCTTGTCTCCCCGCTGCTCCCTCAGCAGTGGGTTTCAATCACCCGTTCTGCTCCCCACTCTGTCTCTGGCCAGTCCTCTAGCCGCCCCCCACACGCACCTCTGACCTGCACCCCATCCCTTGGATGCATAAGTAAATCTTAAGAAAAAACACCTGCCAGGTCAGGCAGGAGAGCTGAGTTCTGATTCGCTCTGATGTAGGCGAGGCCGCTTCATTTGCTATTGGAGAGGAAGCAGAGGAGGTAACGGAAAGCAGTGGAGGTGTGAAATCGGTGCTCTGACAGGCGGAGCCCTTAGGCCGCCACTGTGCCGGCGCTGTCCCCTGCACGCGAGCTTGCTGCGCGGCCTGGACGATCCTGGGTTTGTAGCGGCACAAGCCACGGCCGTGCTTGCCGCCCCCAGCCGCACTCAGCTCCTCACTCAGCTCCTCGAGCTGGAGGCGGCGGCGGCTGGAGCCGTAGTGGGCGAAGGGACGCGGGGTGGGGGGGGGGTGCTGAGGAAAGAGGATTTCTGCTTCTGGCCGGTAGAGGAGGGGTACTGTCCAGGTCGCCCTTTGTGTTGACGGCAAGTGGACAACCTCTGAGGCTAGTGTCTCGGTGAGGTGAGCTCGCTGGAGATCTCACAGCTGTATTTGGAGAAAGTAACTTTTGAGGTGAAAATGTCAAGGATATAGAGAGGAAGGAGGCGTGGGAGTGAGCGGTTGAGCGGGTAGGCCGGGGAGTTCAGTGGATTGGAGGGACGCGTTCATTCGGTTCATTCGGTTCTTTCGACGGCAGAGGAAATCTAACCAGTAGAGGTTTCACTGTACTGAGGAGACATGAGGTAGGACGGTTCGGTTTGTTCCAGATAGTTTCCGATTCTTTGCTGTCTTTGCTGTGAGTTAGCTTCCTGGGTCCCCTGCTGGGGCCAGGCAAGTTCAGCTACCACATGCCACAAGAGGCAGAGTGAGCTTCCCTCCATCATGGCAATCAGTTCTCGAACTTCACTTGACTAGACCAGCTTAGCAGAATGCCCAGTCCACCCACCCTCAAACTAGGCACTGTGGCCGGGGAAATGCTGTGCCTTGATTGGCGGAGGCCTGGAGCAGGGAGGAGGGGAAAGGACATTGGGGAAGGAGACATCTGTGTCCACGTGAGGACCTGTGATGCCGGTCACTGAATGACCCACCATGCACACTGACGCCAGAGAACAATAGTGGCGCCGGGGTGCAGACCCCTCAGTAAATGCTGTGTCCATGGATGAAGGGAGTGGCAGAGACTTTTTTAAGACTTTATTCATGCACAAGAGCTGCGGTGCAGGCCACAGGTGCCGGGGGTGTGTGAGAGAGAGGACTCACCCGAGACAGAGGGGAGCAGAACTGAGAGCCCTGTGCCGCCAGAGGCCCACCAGTGTTCCTAGTGGCTGCAAGTGCAGTGCACTGTCGTCCCGCCCACGGCGGTAGATTGTATAGCAGTGGACCAGCTGGACCGGTGTGATTTTTCTAAATGTGTTTTTCTTACGCTGACATGATTCGTGAATTGAATAAAGGCTTTTGATATTCAGGATGCCCGTGACGTGGCCACTGGATTCCCTGTCTTTGAGGAAAAGAGGCCCAGCTGAGGGAGCAGAAAGCTTAGTATCGGGTACTGGGGGCTCGCGGAGTTGGTGCGCAGCTCTGGGGAGACGCCGTTCTAGCTGGTGGGTGAACAGCCGAGGGACGTGGACAGAGAACGGACCTGGCTGTCCTGAGCGCGCTCAGCTGTGTGGCAGCAGCCAGAAGTTGGTCTCCGCTACTTGGGACCTGGAGACTCCAGGTGTCCCCTGTCCCAGGTGATTCACAGGCTGCCCCCCACCCCTCTCCCCACAGGGTGTAGGACCGACTTGGGGGGCACGGGCAGGCCTGGACATGGGGCCCGGCTGCTGTACGCGCGCCAATGCCCTAGTCCCAGAGGCCTACGCTTGTGCTGGCCCACACCACCCCCCGGCACGTCCCTGCCCGGCTGTTCACATAGGGAAGACAACGACCGTCAAATTAAAGAAAAAAATGTTCCCAGAAGCTGTATTTGGTATAAGCTGAGGCCACTGCTAGTGCTGCCAGTGGCCAGGCACAGCCTAGGAGGCCCTGAGGAGTCGGGAGGGAGGGACATGTGCAGGCGGAGCGCGGAGTGGCCAGCTCAGGCCCCTGCTCGGGAGGATAAAGGCCGTGCAGTGAAGAGTAACATGTTTTTCCTCTTTGGTCAGTCAAAGACCCTAGTATGGGCCTGGGAGGTGAGAGAGCTGAGGGGCGCAGGCTGCCCCAGGGCCCCAGCTTTAGGCTCATCACATTGAGGTGGTGGCGCAGCGAGGGGTGAGGCGAGGTGACAGCAGTCAGGCCGGTAACCTGGCTCCTAGGAGCTGCCCTTCTCCTTGTCATCAGTGAGGTCATACCTGTGACAACAAGCAGAGGCGGCTCAGGCCGAGAGGACTCTCGCGCCCTCAGTGGAAGTGGGTCGCGGGCTCTTGGAGCACCCTTCCCCGGGTGGACCCTTCCGTCCCTGCTCGGCCTGCACCCCCAGGCCGCCCGCCCCTCTGACACTCACCACTGGGCGGCGCCCTGGGAAAGGTCCATCTCAGCGAGGTCCAGCTGCACCTGTGTGTGAGGAGGAGGCGGGGCGGGAGGTTACTTTGTCTCCAAGGCCACACCCCGCTGACCTGGCGTGCGGTCACTGGGCTGCTTCCTCCCCTGGTCTGGGCAGCTTCTGACGCCCGCGTGTGTCTGCCCACCTCTGCCCTTTTACCTTCCCCAGCAGCTCACGTTCTCTCGACATGAAGGAGGAGTTAGACTTCACAGAGACGTCCAGCTTTCGCCTGAGGGCCTCGTCCAGGGCCAGTTCCCACTCAAACCTGGTAAGGGCTGGGTATTAGGGGCAGGGTCCCGCCCACCCGCCCCCTCCAACGGTGCCCGCTGGCTGACCGTTCGTTAAATTCAGGATTTAAGGTCCTTTTCTTCTGGGAGGTCTTCCTCTTGGTGCCCCGGCTCTTGTCTGGCAGGAGCAACAGTGACACGTAGGGGTCGGGGGGATCCCGGCCACTTTGCCGAAGGACCCTGCAGCAGATGAGGGGTGTAATGAAGCCACCCAAGGGCCGGGGGGGGGGCGCCCAGGCAGGTGGGGCGGGCAGGGTCTCACCGGCAGCTGTGAACGATGCTGACCAGCTTCCGTTCCTCACTGTAATACCAAACAGTGAGCTTCACCTGGCCCAGAGGCCCGGCCGGAGCCTCCAGTGGGCTGCGGAGAGATGGAGGCAGGTCTGGTCAGCCAGTACCTGGGGAGCCCGCACCTCTCCTTCGTGCTCCTGACTGCACCCCACTGGTTTGCCCCAGCCCTGTACCTGTCGCCATGTGTGAGGCGCTGCCGGAGCTCTGGGGCTGAGGACGCGACGTGAGGGAGCCCGGGCCAGAGCTCAGCGTCTTCGCTCGGCGTCGAGGCGCTGTGGCTGGACGTGTGGCTGTGAGCTTCCACCCCCGAGTGCTGGGACACCAGGATCTGGGCGGGCGGGCGGAGACCTGTGAGCCGAGCGGGTCCTGCTACACCGCCGCCCCACTCGCCCCACTGTGCGCGCACGGGCCTCTGCCCCCGCCCCCACTCACCCCCAGCTGCAGCCTCAGGAGCACCTGCCCTTGGCCGTGGTGGAGCGGAAACCAGCGGTCCAGGCAGAGCCGGTCGGCCACGAGGAGCTCGGAGAGGGGCAGGGACAAGGAGCCCAGCGCGCCGGAGCCCTCGCCCCGAACCTGTGGAGCAGCAGGGCTGTAATGGGGCACACAGCTGTCGCCAGGCCCTGGCGCTCCAGGTCAGGATCTGGTGGCGTAAGTGAGGACGCGGCCCCGGCATGCTTCACTCCCTGCGCTCACAGGTCTGTCCAGCTTCAGTAGCTCGAGTGGGGAAGTGAATGTAAGTAGTTCCTGCCTAGCACCCCCCTTTCCAAGTTTCAGGGGGGCTTTGGGCCTTGCAGCCCCTCCTGTGGCCTTTGCTTCAGGCCTATTCTGTTTCCTCGCTTGCCAACTTCAGTATCTAAAGTTCCTGCCATGCGAGGTGAGGAATTACGTTCATTTACGTCTCTTGCCAGTGTTGCTCTAATGACATTAAATTCCGCTGGTTTCTACTCACGGAGTTCTGTTTCCTGTTCTATCAACTTAAAGGTATTTTTTTAAAGATATATTTATGCACATAATAACTGGGGTCCAGGCCACGGTGCAGGGGGTGGGCTGAGAGGTTTTGAGACAGTGGGGAGCAGAACAGGTGGATCTACTGAAATACACTTCTGAGGGGCGCGCAGGGAGATAGGAGGGGTCTCCTGTGCCCGTGGGTCACTCCGACTGGTGTTCGGAACTTGTGCGGCAGCGGCCGCGGACAGCTTCACAGTGCTGTGCTTTACCCTATCGTGCCACAGGGGGCCCGCCCGGCCGCGTGTTTCAGTGGATCTGCCAGTCCGCGCCCCGCTGGCTCTGGGCAGCCCTCTCACCCCTGCACCTCTGGCCTTACCCATCCCTGTGTGCATGGGTTGCGCAAGGCGAGCGCGGGACCTTTTCCCTCAGCACCGTGTGTCACGGGGTCTGTGGGACGGAGGTGCAGTACCTGCAGCTCTAGGCTCTCGGTGCTGGGTTTCCTGATGAGAAAGGAGGCGCTTTCGTCCCAGACAGGGGCCGTGGTCTGGGCGACAGTCTGGTGGGGACAGGGTTAGTCAGCAGCTGACGCTGCCTTTCGCTCTTGCTTCTGTTCTTAGCCCCGCAGCGCCCCCTCTTACCTTCGTTTTATGAGAGGCATCTCCCACACCGAGGGTGGCGTAGGCGCTCGGAGGCTTGGTGCCTTTTCGGAGCTAAAGAGATACTGTGTTAGGTCTGAACTGGTATCTTTCGTTTGGACCTAGGCAGGGCTCCCCCCCCCCCGCAGCAACTGTAGCCAGCACCACACCCGGGTGCCCCATCGCTTGGCAGCCTCCTGGCCTTGAGCCCATACCTCTCCCCACCCAGGGAAGAGAGGCGCTGGGAGTTTATGATCCCGCAGACGCCAGGAGGGCGCCGCTCACCGGCAGGTCCTCAGCCCGCTCCAGGTAGACGGACAGCAGCGCCGCAGCCAGCTCCGCGCTCTTCTGAGTCTGGAGCAAACTGTTCACCTGCAGCACCTGGCAGGGGACAGGGGAAGCTGGGAAGTGGTAGCTGGGACCTGGGCTGGCGTATGCTTGGCGGCCGGCCGGAGCGCCTGCCCTGGCCCTCGGGGTCCCTTCTTCCCTCCAGCGCCCGTTCTCACCTCCTCTAACTCAGCAGCAGTGGGGCGAGGGGTTAGGCGTTCCAGGCGCAGGTGCAGGCGGCCAGATGGGACGTCCTCCAGGGTCAGCCACTGTGGGAGCAGGCTGGGTTAAGGCTTGGGGGCGTGGGGAAGAGTCTGAGGGCGAGACCCGGGGCTTGACCCACCTCATCAAGGAAGCCACTGTTGAGCACTGCGGTCAGGCCCACTTTACACCTGTGCGGGACACGGGTTTGGGCGAGAGGAAGATGGCCTGAGCCAAGGCTGTCCCAAGGCCAGCCTGCCCTCCTGGAGCGCCACCTCGCACCTGCCCAGAAAGTCGTCCTTGTCCAGGTCCTTGTCAAAAACCTCAACATCCAGCTCTTGGCCTGGAATTGATGTGACGATCACCTGTTGGGAAGCGCAGAGAAAGGGGTTCTCACCTCTGCAAAAGCAGTCGGTGGCCGTTCTCACAGTGACAACCCTCCGCAGGCGTTTTCCCAGCCGTGCTCCCAGTAAAGGGCACGGTCTCCTCAGCGCACAGTTCTAACCTCAAAAACCTCATTCCAGCGGGGATTGAGATCTTCCCGAACAACACGGCTCCGGAAGCTTCGACCTGCCAGCTTCAGTTTGACATAGGGGTCTGACTTGCCCTTCACCAGTCCCCCCAAGAAACGGTCTTTGGCAATCAGGTCCTGCGCCTCTAACACGTGGATCCGAAGCACGTTCTGCAGAAGGGTCAGAGGGGGCAAGCGCAGTCGGAGAGTGGCCGATCCGAACAGCCGGAAACAAGTTTGCACGTGTGGGGGCCCCAGGCGAGGCCGGTCCTTCCCGGAGAGCCTCACCTCTGTTCCAAAGTAGCCGTCAGGAGTAGTGTGGCTGGGTCGAGGTGGGGTGTCCACACTGCTGCCCTTCTGCGAGCTCTCACTGTCCACATCCCCAGCACCGAGAGTGCTGCGGTCAGTGGGGAAGCTCACTGCTGAGGAATCCAAGTACAAGACCTGGAAGCGTAGACAACGGTTGAGACAGAGCACAGCCAGGTTGGGGGGCGGGGGGCAGAGCAGGCACTCTGATGGGGCTTGGCTGGGCCCCGCTCCACAGGGCTCCCTCCACTCGGCCTGTCCACACAGCGCTCCCCGACCCCCAGGTCAGCACGTTTGCTGTGTGCCTGCCGGCTGCTCCCACACACACCAGCCCACCTCATCTTAGCGCGTGCCCTCCTTGCTCTTAGCAGTGGGGGGCCCACGGCGCTTGCCCCCCGCCTGCGCTCCCACCGTACCCTCATGACCAGCTTCATATAGAGCCTGGAGTTCAGGCCAGAGCTGCTGAGCTGGAACCACTGGTCCAGGGTGAGTTCAGGGGCGGTCAGCAGGCGAGCCAGAGGCAGGGTCAGAGCCCCTAAAGTCAGGGCCCTGGAGTCATCCTTCACCTAGAGGCACAGGAGGAGGGGGAGGGGTGCAGTGAGAGGTTAGGTGAAGTGGCGGCACCATGGGAAGGTCATCACGGCTCTAGCTTCACTGCGTCAGTCACAAACCTGTTTGTTGCAGTTTCCACTCCCTGGAAGTTCCCCTCTCCCTTCTGCTTACCCACCCTACCCCCTCTGTTTACTCTTCAAAGCCCACTTTCCTCACTGACACTCCTGTCACCCACCCTCTTGCTGGCCAGCCAGAGCAGGCTGCGTGCCCCCCCACTAATCAGCCACGCTAGTCAGTGCTCGCTCATGACTGTCTTCACATGTGCGCGTGTCCCGTTTGCCAAAGTAGCTAATAGACTTTGTGGAAAATACAGTATTTCATGTTTTAAAAATGGTGTCAAGGGGGCGCAGGGGGTTAAATCTCAGCACTATGACGCTGTCGCAGCCAGGAGGTGACCCCCAGGGCACAGCAGGCCCGTCTCCCACTGCTGCTCCCCTCAGCGTGTATCTCAGTAGATCCGCCTGTTCTACTCCCCACCGTGTCTGGTGAATCCGCTCACCCCTGCACCTCTGGCCTGTACCCCAGTTCTTGTGTGCATAAATAAACATTTTAAAACAAAATTCTAGACTCTGTACATGGGATGATGAAAGAGTGGAGGACGTGGAGAGTCTGGTAGTTGGGTTGAAAGTGGAAATCCAGGGAGAAAAAAAATGGTACCAGCCTGGGAAACAGCACATTTGGGCATTGCGGGGGCTGAAGCAGTGGTTACCTCACCTGCACGTCAAGCTCCTGGCTTCGAGGGTCTTGCAGGAAGAACCGGAAGGCCTCCTCCCACACCGGGCAGTTGGTGTTGTAGACCGCCTGGGGGCACGGGCCAGTTAGTGGCACTTGCCTCGGTACAGGCTACTGCGTGCCTCACAGGCATCGGAAAGGGGGCCTCAGGGCAAGAGCAGCCTCTGCCACCCCACCTCCCACCAGCCCCCGATACCGCCCTGTCTCCTGAGGCCAAGGACCAGTGGTACCTTGCTCTCCCGGGTCACATCCTGGGTCGACAGCTGCACCATGGGGCTCGGTTCCTTGTTTCCCTTCTTCAGCTGGGGGGTAGAATTCAGGAGTCACCATACCAGGTGTTCAAGGTTTGGTTCAGAAGCGGGCGCTCGCCAGAATCTCTTCTGAGGTGGCTCTCATCCCCTCCTCGGAAGCCTGTCACAGGCTACTGCTTCCAGAGCGGAGCTTCGGGACGCCTGCCCCGGGCAGCCTGCTCACTGGCCCTCAGAAGCTACTCACAGGGAGGTCCTGGGCCCGGTCCAGGTAGACAACCAAGATGGCAGCCGACGGGGGCTCTGGTCGGGAGGAGACGCCTCGATTCCACTGGAGAACCTGGTGGCGAGAGGGCGGTGGTCAGACTTTGGCCCTCAGCCTCTCAGGCGCCAGCCACAGATTTCTCCCCGCCCCTGTCTCCCACGGGTTACCTGCTCCAGTTTTCCGGCATCTGGCGAAAGTGACAGCCACTCTAACCTTAAGTGGACCTGGCCTTGCCCTCCTTGTAGCGGGAACCACTGGAATTAGAAGCAGAAACAGTGAGGCGTAGCAGAGTGCAGCTACCCACTCGGCTCCTTCCCGCAGGACAGCAAAGCAGCAACTGCTCGAGCGAGATCACCCCTCGTCCGTCAGCTCACATCGTCTAGTACTCCAGCCTGTAGCACCTTCCCCACGTCCAGCTTCATCCTGCGAAGGACAGGAAAGGGAGAAACGGAGTGTTGTAGTGAGGGGCGCCCCACGGGCCTCTACTCGTCTGCCTGGAGAAACGGGCAGGTTTCACGCTCCCCGGTGTGCGTGCGTGCGTGCATGTCGTGCCTGTTGGGGGTGAGAGACTGGGAAGGGAAATGACGCGATTCCCTGGCCCAGAAAGTTCTCGGGGACTTTGGTAGCGTGGGTCTCACCTGCCCAGGAAGTCATCTTGGTCTGGGTCCTTGTCGAACACCTCCACCTCAATCTCCTGCCCTGGGACCTCGTGCACCATCACCTGAAGGCCACGAGGAATGAGGCTCGTGGCTGCAGCTGTAAGGATCTTTGCCCACAGCTCCTGGGACCTCCCCAGCCCACACAGCCCCCGCCTCAGCTCTCCCACCTCGTAAGTCTCTCCCCACTGGGGGTTGAGGTCCTCGTCAATGACACGACTGCAGAAAGTCTGGGTGCCCACGCGCACAAGCGCATAGGGGTCTGACTTGCCCTCGATCAGGCCCTTCACGTATTTGTCCTTGGAGCACAGGCCTCGAGCAGCCAGCAGGTGAATCCGAATAATGCCCTGGGGGAGCAATGGGACTTAAGGATGCAGCCAGGTGCCTGAGGAGATTGTCTAAGGGGGGGTTGTGGGAGCCGCCCTACCCTGGGAAGAGGAGACCGCAACTGGGCCACATCATGAAGGTCAGGCACGAGCGGCACCAGTAAGCGATTGGGCAACACAAGAAAGGCAGCGATGGAGTCCATGATCATGGTGTCGGAGAGAGAGCTGGGTGGGCAGAAAGGGAAGTGAGGGGGGCCGTGACCCCACCCTCCCTCCCCAGCTGTTTTCCGTAACCAGAGCAGTAAAGCTAGAGGGAGTGTCCTTTCTTGAGAATCCTTCTGGGCCCGCCCTGGTGGCACAACCAGTTAGAGCGCAGCACTGTGAGGCTACCTGAAGCCGCTGCAGCACAAGTTCGATCCCTGGCTAGGGAGTGGCCCCTGACCTCCTCTTGTCTCCCCGCTGCTCCCCTCAGCCATGCGCCCCGCTCTGTCTCTGGGGAAGCCTCTCACCCCCACCCCTCTGGCCTGCACCTCAGCTCGTGTGCATAAATCTTAAAAGTCCTTTTTGTTACTTTCACCCTGACCACGAACTGACCATCTTCCAGTTCTTCCTCTTTCTGCGGTGTTGAGCTCTGTGCAGCCTTCTCTACCCTCTGCCTGAGTCCACGCCCCTCCAACGAGAAAAATCACCCCCGACTTGGCTCCCAGGGGTGCCAGCTCTTCTCCCACCGCTGGACCCGCAGCACGCGCTCAGTAAAGCCTTGGTACCTGAGGCCTGGGATATCCAGCAAGTTGGTCATGCCTGTCCAGTTGATATCTAGGGTCTGCAGGAAGAGCAAAGGGATCAGCACAGGCCCCTCGGCCTTTGCCAGCCCCCACCCGCCTCTATTCCCAATTCTGTTTCCCCACCCCTCAGTGCTGTCCCTTACCGGGCGCCTGATAAAGAACATGGACACAGCCCCCACGATAGGGAGATCCCCAATGAGTGGCTCAAGAATCACCCGCAAGGTGCCGTGTAGCTGGAACAAGATCAGAGTCTGTGTCAGAAGGGTGTCCTTCCCTCCCAACGTCCCTCTCTGCTGCTTCCCCCTCGTACTCCCCCTCGGGCCGCGGTCCCGTGTGGGGCCCTGACAGCCGCCCACCTGCATGCCCTTGAGTCCAGCTTTGCAGAAATATTTCTTCACTTCCACGTCAATCTGGACGTCACCTACATAGCTAGCGGTTGGTGAGGAAGACAGCAGAGGGCAGTATGAGGCCGAGGTGGGGCGGGGGAGGGAAGCAGGCCTCGGACCAGACCCCACGGAAGGAGACGCAGGACGAGCGTTACCTGATGTTCAAGTCCAGCAGGATCTGTTCTTTCCTCTGACCACTGTGAACCTTGACTCCGAGGATCCGCAATGGCTGGAGAGAGATGAATGCTTGAGGGGCTGGCGGGGGAGGGAGGCGAGCTCAGCCCCTCTGGCCGCCCACCTGTTCATCCCTTGCCTTCCATTACTTTCCCTCTGCACAAACCTTTTCACCCAGGTCCACGCGTGTAAATGTAAATGTTTGCAGATGGGGGTTGGATCCTCTAACAGCCGGGGCCACAGTTTCCGCCAAAAGCTTCTCCATATACTGGCCAAGGAAGGGCCAAACCTGGGCCACTATCTAGGAGGAAAGGGAGTCGGTGTCAGGAGGGCCCAGCCTCCCTTCTAAAGGCAGGTTCCTTCTGAGTCCTCTCCTCACGGCCCCCTGGGGACTAGGCCAGCGAGCGGTGGAGTCTCGCAGGCTTGGACACGAAACAAGGATGGACCCTGGACCTCCCTGGTGGTACAAGCGGCTCAGTCTCAGCACTAGACAAGGCTGGCGCAGCCACTGCAGCACAAGTTCGATCCCCGGCCAGGGAGTGACGGCCGGTGCAGCAGCCCTCTCCTGTTTCCCTGCTGCCCCCCTCAGCAGTGGATTTCAGTGGATCCCCCGTTCTGCTCCCCACTCTGTCTCTGGGGAATCCTCTCACCCCCCACCCCTCTGGCCTGTGCCCCAATTCTTGTGTGCATACATAAATCTCTTCTTTAAAAAACGAGCCCAGTTGTTTCCCAGTGAAAAATAAAAAGACAATCAGGCCTCACCTTGTTCAGCCACTCGGCCTTCTCCACATCTGGGAAGCTGACCTGTGGGCGGGTGAGGCCGAGAGCGTGAGCACAGCCACCCGCAGCAATGCAGGCAGCGCAGAGGGCTGCGCAGAGCAGACTGGAGACTGTCACCAGGGGCAGTGGGCGGCAGGACCATGGGGTGTGGCCTTTCCCGGGTGGGGCACTGAGGCCTGACGGGGAAGCCCGCAGGGCTCTAGGCGGCACCACCGGGTGCCGGGTGCCGGGAAATGAGACCGCAGGGGGCGCGAGGGGGTGCCCCAGCCTGGAGGGGGTCTGTCATCCCCGGAGGAGGAACTCCTGGGACAGACGTCCTGGCTCCTTCTTCCACCCTCCCGCCGGCCTGGGCTGGGCTGGTGTGCCAAGGAGGTGAAGAGGGAAGAGGGCTGGGGCCAGGGAGGGGCCGGCTGGGCCTCCAGGCCTCTGCGTGTTTTCTCCTCGGTGCGGCTCGGTGGACAAGCGGCGCCGGTGCTGGTCCCGGGCGAGGAGAGGTGCGGGGCGCTGCTGGAAGAGGCGCTCGGCGCGGCGCGTGAGGAGCAGGAGCAGCGGCTGAGCCTCCCTGGAACTTTTCTCCCCCAGTCCGGCTCCAGTCCGGGCCGGCCAGAGAGCGGCCCGGCCGGCCCAGCGAGAAGGG